CTTTTATGCAAAGAATCAATTATGGAAGGTGTATCCCCATTGTTGACGTATATAAAGGAAGGAAAGCGAAATTCTACCGGACCCTATTTGCCGATAAAGCGGTAATCGCTACAGAACAATAGAACAGATTACAGAAATACAAAACAATTAGTTATATAGAAGCGGAAGTGGGAAGGTACCACTAGTGAAGGTCTGAGTGAATCCACTAACGTAAAAATATAGATTTTTGTTCTAGGAAATACAAGATTGGTCAAAACCGTTATTTTCAGTTATATTTATATTTCACAAAATGTACGATAATTTTACAGTGTTGATTAATAAATAAAGATGTAAAATTCTCCATAAATAATGTGAATGAAGGAATTAAAATAATTTCTGAAATCCTACGTATGGTATAAGATGCTGTATGAATTATTTCATAATATAGTTGTATTTAGAAATTCTTAAATTTCAATTAGTTATGAGAAATACTTAAATACTGGACTCTCATGTGATATTTCGCATGCTGAATAGTCAATTTGAGGAAAAAATTTCCCCGTTACACTATAAATACTTGAAATTCTGCCATGTTGGTACTTTCTAACAAAGTATCAAGCATGTATCCCACTTGTCATGTATAATATACTAATATTGCATCGCAATTTTTATCAAAATTGCTTGAAATTTTGCTAGTACATATAGTACTTATAGTTCCTACTAGTACTACTATTGAAGCAAGCATGTCGTATTCATGCTATATAAATTACCCTAAAATTTTTAAGAAGGGGAAGTACATAATGCTACTTATATTTCCGTACTAAAGTACTGTTACACACGTAAAAACGCACACGTTGTTACAAGTCTGCAAACAAGTTGTTACAAATCTGTTCACAAGCTGTCGACAAGTTGTGTTCGCACTGCTTGTTCCCAGTTGTTGTAACAAGTTTGGACCAGGCTGTTAACACCTTGTAACAAGCTTGATGGCATTATCAGACTTGTTACAAGACTGTTCTAACAAATCTGATACAGTCATGATATAACAAGAATGTAACGTTACAAGGTTGACGACACAAGGTTGTAACAATATTGTTATATCATGACTGTATCGGACTTTTTTGTTGGCACAACATTGCAACAAGTCTGATAATATCAACAAGGTTGTTACAAGTTGTTTAACAGCTTGTTCCAAACTTGTTGACAACTTGGGACAAGCAGTGCGAACACAACTTTGTGTTGTCACAACCTTGCGTCGTCACGACTTGTTGGTAAACTAGCGACAAGATGCGAGATTTTTGCGTGTGTGGTATTCCGACTTAGTAAATTTTCTTGTTACGGTGAACGGAACAGAAGCATTTAATTTTCATGCTATATAATATACCCTTAAACTGTTAAACTTTTACGAAGTAATACTACTTATATCCCTGTACTAAGTCACCAGTATTATTCTGATAGTAATACTTAGTACTATTTACATCCAAGCATGCCTTCATTGTCATGCCAAATTCATTCATTTCAAATTCAATTCTAATTCAGTTGCGCGCGCATCACCAGCGATGCTCGTCGGGCTGAGCCTTCTTCCAGTTATTCAAAAACTCCAAAATTTCAATTTTCTCCTGTGGCTCTATGCTCGTCACGTGCAACGCCGCGTACTCTAGTAATGATGTGTAACACAGTTCATACTGGTCAGCGGTCTGCACGCTGAGCGCCCGCTGACCACGAATACGTTTGACCGTGTTAATAATGTTACACCTGCCTGTGTTTAGTAAAGAATCAATGCCAATACTTATCGTCATATAGCTACCAGTCCTCCCGATACCAGCACTGCAATGGACCACGACAGGTGGACGTTGAGCCTGCGTTTTGCCAGCGGTCTGTAGATCCTCCACCATTGATTTAAGCTGGAATATTGGTTCGGCTGAGTCGGGAACGCCAAAGTCAGGCCAGCTTATCATTTGAATTTGATGCACAGTCCGTGATACTTTTGTCTAGGGAAAGACAAATCAGAATGGAGAGGTTAAGACACCCCGGTTTACGGGTGATATACCCCTACCCGTTCACCAAAGATTTGGGGAAAATTCGACGAACAAATCTGAATTGATTTATTTACGTAAGATGTTGAACGCCCTAGAAAGATAATACAAAATCAAATTACCTTTGTGTTGTTTATTACGAATTGTCTGTTGATAAAATCATCTTTTTCTGTCGCCTCAATGCAGCTCACTTCAAGATCGCTGTATTGTTCAAATGCTCCCGGGTCAGGCCAGTAATGTCCACACTTGACGCGACCACGTTGGATTTCTCTGAAAAAATTGTAGTGAAGATCACATCAGGTTATCAGTAAAATGAATCAAACAAAAACATGCAATCCTTGCCTGTCCAAAGATTACGATTACCATTTGTTTTACACAAATTTTCATGTGGGTGTGATCAAATGCGATTTACATCAAATTACGCTTTCCTAATTACATACTTAGACTATTTTATCTTTACAAAAATTGTGATATTAATTTCTTAACTGTGTTTATCCTAACCCACCCTGTCAACTTTCCCTGTGGGAGGAAACCGGAGCACTCGGAGAAAACCCACGACTTTCGGCAGAGCGTTGACTGACTCTTTTCACATGAGTCCGTAGCGAGAATCCGACCCACGAACTCAAAGGTGAATGACGCTTGCTTTGATGACTGAGCCACCGATGCCCAACACACTCTTGTGAAACACACTCTTCCAGGAAAGGCACTATCTACATCACGACTATAGAGTCTATAGTCAAGAAAACAATCTACCATTCTCTCCTTTAATCAGTAAATAATCTATTGAAATGTCCATCTACATGAGCAAAGGTACCGTTGTATCTTACTTTGTTAACATTACAATCACCACAGTCCCCGTTGTCCAGATCATTCTCCAGAAATCGCTAAACGTAGCCGGTAAAGGACCTGAAGGAAAAAGTTGTAAAAGTTGACATCCATAGCTTTTGGCTCAACAAATTTATTATTGCATTAACCTTCTGTTACACACGGAAAAATCTCTTGTAGCAAGCTTGTCAGCAGACAACAAGTTATAACAATACTGTTTTTTTATCAAGTTGCTACAAGGTTGTTACTAACAACTTGTTGAATTGCAGGACGATAACAAGTTGTTGAAACAACTTGTAACAAGTCGGTTGAACTCAACAACCTTGTGTAGCAAGTTGTCAACAATCCCCTGACAAGTTGTCAACAAGCTGGGAACAAGCAGTGCGAACACATCCTGTTGATAAGTTGTTGTAACAGCATTGCTACAAGTCTGCTGCAGGTTTGTTACAACTTGTGCGTTGTTATGTATGTAGCAGATGTACTAGCCTGCGAACAGGCTCTCAAGCTGAATTGAGAGCCTGCATCGATGACTAATAAATTTGAATATCTGCGCCTCAAATCGTGACGCGAAATTCTCATTGGTCAGATGCTATAATTTATATTATTCCGCTGAGCTCTATATATGTCAACTGTTGAAACACTATGCATAAAAAACACATTAACTGATCAAATTGGTCTTGGCCATCTTATCTCAAAGCACGAAATGTTCTGTTTTGAGAAAACAGTATTTAAAACATTTAAACTTTTGCTTGAATATTTTATATTTCGAAAAACAGTATAAACTGTACGGTCTAAATTTAGTTTGCACGAAAGTTGTAAACAACACCATATAAGGATAGACATTCCATATTTGGAAAAACGATCGTTACGGGGCAGATATTCAAATTCATTAGTCATCGATGCAGGCTCTCAATTCGGCTTGAGAGCCTGTTCGCAGGCTATAGCCTTCCTTGTCCTTCTTTAGCGTTCACTAGCCTTCCTTGGCCTTCCTTAGCATTCCCTAGCCTTTCTTGGCCTTCCTTAGCGTTCCGTAGCGTTCCCTAGCCTTCCTCAGGCTTCCCTAGCCTTCCTTGGCCTTCCTTGGCCTTCCTTAGCCTTCCTTAGCCTTCCCTAGCCTTCCTTGGCCTTCCCTAGCCTTCTTGGCTTTCGTACGCTTTCTATGGACAATATAATGATATAGGAAGATTAGAGACAATATAGAGTATCATAATTTCGGGTTTTCAGTTAAGTTAATAATAATATAGCGCCTGTACCAAAATGTTCTAAGCGCTGTACAAAACAAAATCTAAGTTACAGTTCAATGAAATCATTAAGTTATTTACGGACTGATGAAATGATCAGATCATATACAATTTTGCTGTGTTATATTGTGGTGTGATGTTTAAAGACTGTTGGATTTACATCAAGGTGAGCAATATGAAAAATCATTTTAACGGCTGACAAGAACGGGTGTACATTGGTAAATAATAAAAAAACTTCACTTCACTAAGTAAAAGGTTTAAGAGGGAATCTCCACTATCACCGAGCAACTGGTGGCACATGATGAAAAATGAAATGTTTTCTTATTTTGTCCAGTGATACACTAATGTATACTTAGAAACGTGATGGGGTTTGTTTTCTGAAATATTATTTTAAACGCCGAAAAATTATCAAAACCTGACATGTATCCAAGATTCGTGAAATTAGCTAAAAACATAGTGAGTCATAGCCTCTCGAAAACTTCGTTTTGCTCAGTTCGCGTCTTCAGGAAACCTCACTTTCGGTTTTTAAACGTGTATATAAGATGTTTATAAACAACGATAGTCTATTTTGGAATCTTTTAAATAATGTTTCAAAGTCAAGGCAAGCGTATAAAAATCGCCTTATTTTGCGATCCAAAAAATTCTAAATTGTTACACTTTTTGAAAATTAATTTTCCGTATCCGGGAAAACTCCAATTTCCTTGAAATTTAGGGAATTTAAAGAGAAACTGTTGCTCTAAGAGCCGATATAAAAATAATTTTGGGGCTTTTTGTTACCGCGGAATTATACTGACTATAATATCGGGAAAATCACAAGAAAAACCTTAAGTTAAAAAATTTTAGGTTTGGTACATTTTTTGAAAATAAATTTTCCCTTTCCGGTAAAAGTCCGATTTCCTTCAAATTTAGACAAATGTATGAGCAAATGTTGCCCTCAAATCTGGTGTAAAAAATGTTATGGGGTGTTTTGTTATCACGAAATTATAATCAGGGACGCCGGAACTGGGGGGGCAGGGGGGGCGTCTGCCCCCCTTGCCTTTTGCTAGGGGGGGCAGGGGGGGCAGAAGTGCCCTTTTAGTTGTAAAATAATACGTGATAAATCACATTTCCAACGATGCTTTTTGTAGGAAAATCACGAAATTCAGGTAATTTATAGTTTATATTTATAAAAATTTTGGGAAATTTTTGGAATTTAGAAAAATATTTTGAAGAAATGGCGAAAATTTAAGATATCCGGAAAAATTTTTGGCTTCACGGAAAATTTTTGTATGTCCGGAAAAAATTTTTGACCCCTAAAATGGTACACTGACCGTAATTTTTTTGGCGACGGGGGGGGGGTGGAGGTCGCCAACAAAATTTTGCAGTGAAAAAAAATTTTTCAGTAAAGGTGCCCTTGGTGTGCGTCCGCCCCCCTTTGCCCTATTATCGTTCCGGCGTCCCTGATTATAATGTCTATAATATACAGCCGATTATGTAGACAGACACTTATAGACAGGCAGTTCGTCTAGACACAGTCTGCTCAGATAGACTGTCGAAGCGTGAGGATTTATACTTGTTTTCTCTTGTTATTTGGTTTTGACAGATAAATTATAAATTATTTTAAATTATTTTGCTTGTTTATCGGGATTTTAGAGAAATAAATAGTCAATATGATTATATGAACATCATTACATCATGTTGCAAAAGCTCCGTGCGCGTGACTTGACACATAATAATTAATAGACAAAAGTCAGTTATTGATAGCCTGCTTAAATCCACTACTCAAAGTCTCAATAGCTCGTAAAAGCAATCCGTATTATCTACTTTTTTCAAACTGAAATATATGTGCTTAGTTTTCTCTGAAGTAGTCGCATAAATCATTGAGATTAGGGCTAGATTTTATTAAACTCGCGATGTGACTACAATGACAATGTCAATGTAATTAGTGACGTGTTTGACAGTTTGTATGAATAAACTTCCGAATACACAGAAATTATAAAGTAATATCAAACCTGATGTATAGAACATACGCTGAATTTACTTTGTTATATGCACAATAACTGCATGTAAGCGACTTGCTCTTTTAAGAAACCAATTTGCTAATAATCATTCTTTTTTCAAAATCATGCGGACCTTTATTGCTGCCGTTAGGCAGCTCCCTATTCTTCACGTTTGCTTGACCCAGTCTTTCGCGCGACAAATATATTGGGAAGATCTCGATCAATGTGTCCGGGTGTCCGTCCGCAATTACGGGGAAATGATTATTCTGCAAGTTTTTTAAACAAGGGGGGCGGTCAAACTTTATTTTGTATTGTGCTCGCTTGATTCTTCTCAGGATTTCAGAAACGATCAACAATACTTTGCCTTTTGGATATAAATTGCGGTAAGGATAGTTTTATTTAGCTGGCAATATACTTGAGATATACTTGAAAGCATTTATATTTAGATCTGCTGCTGTTTTATAGTGTTCGATATACTAGAGTAGAGGTATTGAAACAATATTGATTATTGAATATGATTTCATGAACTTATCAGCAGTTTTATTCACAGATATTATATAATCATACAAGGAGTCCAATTTTAGTAATATTTGTTTGTGCGGCGATAATGAGTTTGTATATTGTTCATTCTAGATGTTTATAGCAATGTGCTTTCAGCAAGTTTTAACAACAAACGCGAACTGTTGTGTATGCACGTCTTAATAATCAGGCTTAATGTATAAAAGATATTCCTATACTAGCAACCCAGTGTGGATTGATGTCTACACGTAAACTTACCAGCAGTTACATGTAATATACCCTGCTGGCAGTGGTTTCTGAGCTGAGGAGAAACTACTGCGAGCAAACGAACGATTTTCTAGCGAAGATCGCGTGATGCGACCAACGTGACGTCACTTTAAATTTGACTTTCTCTTCTGTAGTTTGTTAGATGTAAACAAGCTTGACATAGTTTAATCAAACGACTTTTTATTCTACATGCAGTTCGCAATTTATCTATCGGTTCTATAAATATCGTTGCTGCCAATACTAAAATATTTTTGAAAATCGGTTTCTCACGCTACAAATTTGACATTTGAATTTCTGTTATATCTTTTTCAATTTTTGTGTTTATACGATCAATATTTTTTTACTTGGTCTACAAACTTTATTTGTGTTACTTTAATTTAAACATTGCATTGGATATTGTGTTAAGGTTTTTGGTAGAGTAAATTCCAATTTCAAAAGTTTCCAAATATTAATATGTTTACTATTGTGGATTTTGACAATTATTGCATTTTTTTGCGACCTCAACCGCTACAAAACATTTCTCTAAAAGGTTGATTTTTGTTGCAGTGTAGAATTTATTGTTATAATTATGTTATTCTTTTGAACTCTATGCGGTTTTCAAGTCATCTTGATGTATAATTTCTCACATTCTATTCAATATTTGTACACTTTTGTACAAAGACAAGGACAGTCAAAGTATTATATTTAAGCGTGTTGCTATATTTAGAACGTGATGTTTTTTTCAGTGTACAACTGGCTCGCATTTTACCAGCAGTGCCAAGCATTTAACCATGCGCACGACAACAAAAACTTGTTAAACTTGTTTCACCAGTTTCTCATTTATTGTTTCGTCCGTAAATTTGGACGGCGGCTACATCAAACGATCGTTCATTTGCTCGCAGTGGTTTTTCATCAGCTCAGCTAGAAACCACTGCCACATGGTACATGTAATAACATGTCAACCGGCTTTTTTTGTACAAGGTACGACGTTCTGTAAAACTATATCCATTGTTATATATGTCCATTGTTAGCATGATATGAAATAATCCTACTGGCCAACATTCATATATTCACCTGGCTGTGTCACTACATTTCAGGGTATAAACACACCCTTAAAAACGCCTGGTTTCTATTAAATCGTAATCATCGCAATAGTCGCGGAACGCAGACATCGTTATCGCATGCAAAAATCGCAGTAAGTCTATCTTTGCGACGTTGTCGTAAGAGTCTTAGTTATTGGCGTGACTCAAATTTCCAATAAATCGCAGTTTTTATTGAAAATTTTGCGTTTTTTAAATCGTTGCGACGCTTGCGATGTGGTTTTTGCGAAAATTACGATTTAATGGAAACCAAGCTTTATTGGCAGCAAATTGCGACATGCTGCCTTGATCCCTGGGCGGTGAGGCAGCACTTTCCTTGCGATAGTAACTTCTAGTTTATCATTTAAATAATATACCCTTAAAATACTGACAATTGATTAATTTTAAGCAGCTACATTATCCATGACAACCTGCCAAAAATGAAGATATTACGGTTGTCTGGAAAACGCGTGCACGTACACGCGTACACGTACACGCGTACATGGAAAACGCGTACATGGAAAACGCGTACATGGAAAACGCGTACATGGAAAACGCGTACATGGAAAACGCGTACATGGAAAACGCGTACATGAAAAACGCGTACATGGAAAACGCGTACAATGTTTATTTATATATAACGTTAATTAATTAAAACTTGGCGATTTTATTGGAAGTTCTGTTGCAGACCTAGTGATTGTGTCAATGATGGTCAGATCATGGCCTCCGTGAAGGACAACTTCACAGTGGACTACGTAATGTTTAGTACTTTCATTGTGTTCCAACATGCGTCCAGAAAAAGCAGCCGTACGTATTTCCAACCACCTCACGCTATTATCCCATGCACGTAAGATATTATGTCAATAATGTCAATTC